GACTATTCTTAATTCAGAACTAGTTAGTGGGTTGGGCTGTGGTCACTTAATGAGCTTGACAGCATCTGTGCTAGCAAAGCAAATAAGCCTGCAGTTCACAGATTTACGACGGCATTGGCAAAGCCAGAAAGGAGAAGAGGAGTGGACGGAGCTTGGATGGTTCTCAATGTGAAGCAAATTTCCATTGGTGTCAGAGAGTAGAGGACAGCAGTGGTTCCACAGAAAATAGAATCTTCACGTAATATCTTCCCTATGATAATGTTAATAAACTCAATGAAGAAAAATGACCATATTGTCCAAGTAGACATATCAGTACTTCTATGCTGAAAAAATATAATATTAACTCCGGAGGCACGGAATTTGGTTTGTCGCTTTTTTTTTTTTTTTCAAACAGGCAAGATTCAAGAACCCAGCTATTAAAGTTTGTATAATCTAATCAATTAAGAATGATTTTTTACAGAACAAAATTATAGCATTCATATTAGAACAATCAATAATGTAAACAAACGTCATCAATTAGAGAACTCTTTTATCATTATTTGGTTTTAGTCAAGGAGTGAAGTCAGCCATTAGGGTCATACAGGCTGGCGGTTTCAAGGTGTGGCTCAAATTTATACAACCAGTAATTAAGGGTAGATACGTTCATATTAACAAGGTCCCCACTGTGACTGAAATACCCTTCTGTTGTAAACACCCTTTTATGTGCTGGATTCTTCTCCTTGGCTCTGACCTTCTCAAGCACAGAGATCATGGGTTGCCTAGTCTTGTCCCTAGTCACTCAGCCAGCATAGAGCTCATCTTTGTAGCAAATTAATGAATATTTTCAGAATTGATTTGAATAATTGAGAAAGCCCATCTTCATACCCCAGAACGCTGCAGGAAAATCACAAAAGTACACTCTCTATAGACATATACACCATATCAGAAGTCACTCTCTCACAAAGTCAGCTTTGCAAAAAGTCCTTCATCCAACCATCTACCAGATGAAGAGAGGTTTTCATGTGGTGTTTGAGGAGTCAGCACTTCTAAAACACACAACTACAGAAGAAAGTAAGCTTTAGATTTCTCTAGTAATTTCAGAAAAGTAGCTTTCCCTAGAGGGAAGAAAATTCCCTCAGGGAATGTAGTTTTCTTTTTATTGGCCATAATAACCTGCCTGACTGATCTGAGTAGCAGGTGTTGGAGCACTAATGCTCCACTCTGGTAAGGATTCACACGGTACCGCTGGCCAGAAGCCCAAAATGGGCCCACACATACAGAGTATGGATGTGCTGCATGATTCAGCAACATCTGTGGCTGTGCCTTCAGATACATTTAAGGGCAGGGAACTGGAAGTTAATTCACCCAGAAAGACAGCCATAAGGAACATAAGCATATAGTGTATAGAGTATCTGAATTTACTTCCTCAAGTCTTTCCCCTGGGTCTAGCCAGTTGAAAGCCCTGGTTAATTTCTCTCTCAACTCTTCAGCAGGAAAATCGTCCTGGTTTTGGTCAATGAAGCACAACAGGGATTTAGTAGTCTGGGGAGTTTCTGAGTCCTCTGGAGAATGTGTCTATAATAAAGATGTGGGTGAATTGATTTAAGTCATAATGCCGAAACTTGCAAGTCAATGAAACTGTTTTTTCACAGAGCATATAAACTGATTAGTTAAAAATAAAGTTGTTAATGTGATGCAGAAAAATATATAATAATGACTATGGGAATTTAGCATAAATGTTGGTAGGCTTGAAATATGAGACAGAAGAATAAAAACTGCCATATCCATGATATTTTATGCCCTATTATCTTATGTCAGAGTTGGAGATCATTAAATTTATTGCTCAAGCTAAAGCTTGTTCAATGTTTATTTAACTCAAAGTTTTATTAATCTGATTAAAGTTTGCATTGGAGTAAGCCAAATTCAGCTATTACATGAAATATAAGTAATTCCCAGAGTAATCAAGTATGACTGCTCATTTTAATCTGCATTTAACTACAGTATATTTCATCTAAATTCAGGTGCAACCCACATAGTATAATGCAAAGGAGTTCAAATTGAACTCTCAGAGGATGCCATTTATTAGCATTTTCATAATTAAAAAAATACAAAAACTTGAACACATTAAAGAGAAAAAACTACCATGCCATTTGGACTATCAGTTTATATAGCCTATGTTGTGATCAGTGTAGCTCCTTTGCAATAAACTTTGGGTAAATTGTGGAGAAGTTGGTATCAAGTTGACATACTCATTGTAAGAAAATTTATATTTAGAGAGAGAATTTCTTGAAGAGGCCACTGAAACGGGCTTGCCAATGCCTATGTTGGGGGAACATCACCTGGACACCATTGATCTTTGTACTATTTATTATGTACCTAGGATATCACTATTAAGTGCTTTGTAGGATTCAAATATCAGAGAAAGCATGTTCATTTAACCTCTCCTTTTGAGGAATTTAAAACTATTCCATTTATTTTCTTTGAAAAGGCTTGTGTGCATGGAAACTGCTAGAGAGAATAGTGCAAATGAACCATACAGAGAGAGAGGTAAGAGTCCTTTAAGATAAATTAGAAAAAGAGAGATAAATCTTCGGTTAGACCTAAATGAGGAAGGAAGAATTTGAATAGCAGAAACAGAAGGTACAAGAAATAGGCTACAGATTCAGAAAAAGGGTGAAGCAGAAGTAGGTACAACATGCATTGAGAATGGTGAAGCCATGCCAGCCTATTTCGGAGTGAGGGCCTCTGGTGGTAAATCCAGAGACTGTTGGACAATTCGTGTGAATTTAGGTATAGCTGAATCCCATACTGAAGCCTAGAGAGTTTTAAAGACTTTCCCTGGCACATTACTAAAATGTGGCAGTGATGGGATTCAAGTTTAAATGCTATCTCCAATACTATATGGCTGTCTCTTTCTAGGTTTAATGGAAGTTATCTATCTGGGTTGTACAAGAGTAAAGTGGTGTTGACTCTGAACTCAGAACCATCCTATCACAGTTGTAGGGATAACTTTCAAGGGAATTATCTAATAATATCTGAAATGACCCAGACATACCAGCTTACCTAGAAACCATCAGTTTGTACTTTCGGTGGAATCTTTTTATTTATTTCCCTTAAACTCCTTCCTGACTTTAGTAGATGAGGTATTATTGGTGTGGTGTGTTTTATTTTCTAAAATATGTAACAGTGCATAAATAGGACATGTAGCTATCCAAGCTCAGTTTGTTATATAGCACAAATAATCCCACAGGAACAGTCTACAGCTGACATGCAACCTCACTTCCCCCAAATCTACTAATGTAAGTGAAATGTAAATTGCACCATTATCACGTTATATGCTAACGTCAGCGTGGTCGAATTGTCTATGGGTTGCCATGACAACCCCAGCTAAGATAAAAATGAAACTGGTATTCACAATACATATTTACCTAGAGCTTATTTTGTCTTCTAGGCTCTTCAATGGCCAACAAGGAATTATTATTCAAAATTTTAGCACAAGGTCCATTCTCACTGTTACCAATGTGACACAGGAGCACTTCGGCAATTATACTTGTGTGGCTGCCAACAAGCTAGGCACAACCAATGCGAGCCTGCCTCTCAACCGTAAGTAATGCAATGGTACCAAAATGCTCCCAGGGGCCTCTGGGCCCCTATCCATCAGTAGAGATAAAACCTAAGAATAGAGTACGTTCATTTTAAAACTCAGCCTGATGTGACACATTCCTCATACGTCACACATTCCTTACACATGGAAACTTTGCCCCCAAATCATATCATTGTCCAAAGATTTTATAATCCCTGTAGAAGTCTACATGTATATAAAAAAAATGTGTTAGAGCTGAGAAAGGAAAAAAATACATGAATAATAGGGCTAACTGAAAAAAATGTCTTTGGCTGAAGTCAGTAGATTTGGTGAGATTTTGTTGTTTTTTAAATGGATTACATAATCTGGAAGTATAGATTAACATGGCTTAAATTTGCTCTTCGTTGGTTTTCATCAAACATTCATCTTGGGATAGCCAGAATTTCACAAGCCATACATAAAATGAAACAGCAAGTAAATGATCATGGACAAAATATTTTATCCATATAGATAATATTTTTACTCAAAATTGTATTTTAAAATATAACTTAAGATTTTATTCAAATAAATACTACATTTCTAATGTATCTTACTTCCTAAGGACTAAAAACTAGTAAAGAAGCACAAACACAAGGATCGGGTAAAAGGATAGAAACGTCCATGAATGTTTCCTCCTATAATTAATTTTACTGCTGTTTAGAAGCTGAGGAACCAACAAATTGTTGTAGCCACAAAATATTCTTAATTTTGAAATCAAATGTTTCTCAAAATGTTCAAAGAAGACTAGAGAGAGTATACTGTCTTTTCAGTGCCACAAAGTTATCTGAATTATCCTTATCTCTTATAGTTAATATTTTGTAGTAACTTGACAAATGTATATTTGTCTTATGATCCTGTTACAGTAAGCTATCTCTGAAAAATGCAAATATTATGTAGTTCGTCATAGCTATCATTTCCATTTTGCAGAAATGGGGATGGGATATATGATGTTCCTACAACTTAAAAATATACTGTAATAAGTTTCCATGATTTATGAGCTTTACATTACCATAATTTAAGAATTCTGATGTGAAATAAAATATATCAGTTTATATCACATCTTTTATTATCCCATCCTAATATTCTTTAGTACTCAATTTGAAAGAAAAGCATTGCTTGCCATGCAATAGTTATAGTATAATATGCTTGCTTAAGTTCCTTCCATGAGGATGATTTATTTAGCGAAATTATGAATAATATAAACCACTGAAAATATTATAAAGCAGTGTGAATTCCAATTTAATGTAAATATTGATACTTCTTTGGTATATTATTAATATTTTAAATGGTTTAAATATTCAAGCACTTGAAAGAATAAATGAATTAACACGGCAAAGTAAAGAAAAATTTAAGGCTTAATAACATATTAAGTTTTGCTATTTAAATTTTTAAATTACGTTCTGATTTTCAAAACTGAAACATTAATGAATGTGAAAAATTAGGAACAAATTCCACTTGTGTAAACATTTGTTTTACTCTGGCAATCTTAACACAAATGTCTGGAAATAATATAGTGTTGAAAAGGCTTCTAAACGTAGTGCCTTCAGAAGAGACTCTCATCATCTCTCTCTGCCACTGACTTGCTGTATGCTGAGGTGCTATTAAGTACGTACAATTTGATTAATTTGTTAACAAAGGCAAAATATGAAAATCTCATCTGTAATTATGAACATAGCCCTGGAAGTTTGGAAAAATGCCCATATACTCAGAACCACTTGTACGACCTCATCTGAAGCTCTTACTGCCCTAAGCATTTTCATTTTGTCTTACAGTTATTTTTATATATATTCCATCTCTCCATAAAATTATAAGTTCTTTAAGAAGACAGGATCAATGTCTGATTAGTTATTTTATTTCCCATATCACCAAGCACAGCGCCTGCTATTTAATAAGCAATTAGTAAATCTTTAGTGAATACATGAATTAAACATTGAGTAAATGAATGGATGGATTAATGAATAAATAAATGAGTGAATGAGTTTTAGCTGTAGAATCTGTACTTGTAACCTCTACAGATACAAGGCAATATGACTGTAATTACAAATAGCACATAGTTAGCTTACTCTGAAACAGACTCTATTCTTATTTTTTATATGAACTTGTTCATTTAATTCTCACACAATCCAAAGAGCTAGATTCTGTAATTCTCCTCTTCTAGAAAGGAAACTTAGAGAATATAAATGTGGCTGAGGCCAAATGGTTAGTGACAAAGCAAAACCTTAAACCCTGACAATCTGGCTTCAGATTCTAAGCTTTTATCTACAATGCCTACAGCCAGCAAAGCACAGCACTAGACGTTGGAAAGGGTTAGTTGGACTAGAACCCCATCCTGAAGGAGTTCTCAGATGAGTGAGAGGTGAGAAACAAGCAACCAGGCAACTATAATGCAATATGGTCATTGGTACCATAATGGGGCAGAGAAGATGCTCTTACTGTAGTCTTAAGGGTCATGAAATAACTTTCATGTAGAATAGCCAATACTACCATTTGAATTATAGCTAAGGTACAACTGAAAACATCATCTTAGCAATGACTATCTCGTTTTCTGGGGCAGAACTTTTCAGGAGCTCATTCAACAACAATCATGTGCACAAAGTATAGTGGCACAAATAAGAGAATGATCAACTCAGTCAGTCTCAATGACTCAGAGAAAAATATAGAGGAGATGCCCCTTGAGGTAAAGGTGATTAGGTTGAGCCTGGGTGTGGGAATGGTGATGGAAGAAAGAGAGAGGCAAGCACTCTAGTGTGGAACCGCTCATGTAAAGACATGGCAGTATGAAACAATTCAATACATTTGAAGATACTATAGTACTTTAATATGGCTTGAATAAAAGGTAGAAGGAGAGTGTTGAGAGATGAGGGTAGACAAGTTGGCAGGGATGAGGATGAGAGAGTTGAAATGAGTTTTGGCTGTATCCTGGTTTTGGAGAGTTACAGAAGGATTTTAACAAGGGAATGATACAAACAGATTTGGTTTCCAAAAGACACTCTTATGCACTGTGAACTGCTAAACCCAGATATTAAACTTTTAATGCTAAAGGTAAAATAACAATAATAATAGTAACACCAAAAAGAATAGCAGAGGCAAGAGAATTGAGAGCTAATTAGGAGATAGCCATCAAATCTGGCAAAAAAAAAAAAAAAAAAGGAAGGGAGTTGCAAGGATCTAGATAACTCCTAATGTTTATTTTGCATGAAATTAGCCAGAATAAGTGCATAAGAGAAGAATTGAGGCTTTCAGATTTTAGGAGGAGGTAGAAATTAAAGGAAAAAATTAGGTCATTTCTAGACATTTTTAGTTCAAGGCAATGCCTAATAGGTAGCTGGGTATAAAGTCCAGAATGGAGACATAGATAAAGTTATCAGAGTGGAGGTAGTGGTTTCAGCCATGAGAGTAAATGAGACTTCTCATGGAAGCCATGTAGAGTGAAAAGATTACCAAGGACAGAAATCCAAGTAAAATTAGCATCAAGGAGTGAGCCTAGGAAGAGAAGCATCCTGCAGAAGCAAGCAAATTGAATGTGAATGGAGATGCCTGAGGAGGGTCGGCACTGTGGAGTGCTGTGAAAGCTGTGAGAGCAGCCCATTTCAAGAAGAATGAAGAGTCGGCACTGTCCTGTGCTCCATCCACTCAGGGAACATCTGAAAATCAACCACTGTCTCTGACAGTTGGGCAGTTAGTTACTGGTGACTTTTGCCAGAGCAGTTTCTGTGTAAAACTGAGAGTAGAAGCCAGATTTCTGTGATTAAGGTTAAATAAATAGATGAGGAAATAGAGACATGGATAATAAACTGCTCTTTTCAGAAGTTAGGCTATGAAAAGGAGAAGACAAGGCTGATGTTATGCCTTGATGTCTAGCTGATGGTCTGATTAGTATTCCTTTCTGATTAATATGGCCCAGCGGCTGTGTGTGTATCAGCAGCTCCCTGACCTGCAAAGATACAACATCCTAGCATTTGATGAACTATACGATAGTGAACTTGCAATGTTTTCTGGTTTTCTGCAAGTCTCCATCATTTTCAGCTTGTTCGCTTCTTTCTCACGTCTTTCTTGGGTCCCAGGGAAATAAGCAAATTTTTGATTTAACGTGAAGACACCTTAAACCCCTTTATCTTCCATGACCTGTAGGCTTTAGGCAGTAATTGTAAGAGAACCTGTAATTTTAAGTAGAGGTTTTAGTAATTTCATCAATAGAATTACTTTAAATTACTTAAGGTAAAAATGTATGTTTTCTAAAAGAAAAAGAAAGCAAACTTTATGGTGGAAAAACTACCGGAAAGCTAGTATACAATGAAGATCCCTCATCCTCTAGATTCTCTGTCCAAAAGTTCCTGAAAGATTTCTACGTTGTAAAAAGTACAAAATTGGAAGGGAAGAGAGGGAAAGACAGAGAGAATATTCTGCAGATCAATGTATATTAGCCCTCAGGAAATAAGTGTTTTAACAAAATTTATAATGGATAACAGTATGCCAACCATTCATAGCAAAATTCTTATTAAATAAAAAATTGGAGATTCAAAGATATTTGTTATTTTATTGTTATTTTTCAGTGCATTTTTTGCTTCCTGAACATGGGCAACTAAAAAAAGTGTTTCTTCCAAGTCTGTTCTTTAAAGACTATGAACTGAGTGGTCCCATCCTGCCATCTATGGGTTCAATTCATCAAATGTACACTATCACTTAAGTGGGAATTCAGTAATCAGTACAACATAGTCATTTCTATAAGTAAAACATGTTGTACACGCTTTGTTTCTCACTTCCACAAAAGTACAAATATTTATTATAGGACACATATTCAAGACTTGCCATCTAAAGAGAAATAGGAGAATTAATTAAGATGGAAGAAAGCTGCATAAGCAAAGTGCTTAGAATTCACACAGCCTTAGTTTAATACAACCCTCTCCTGAGACTTAATACATGGAAATATTTGGTACAAATTGAGTCTCACTTTCGATAAAGACTCGTTGCTTAAAGTCCC